TGGGGCTTGAACTCTGGGCCTGGGCGCTGTCCCTCAGCTCTTCAGCTCAAGGCTAGTGCTCTACCACTTGAGCCACAGCGCCACTTCCGGCTTTTTCTGTTTATGTGGTGCTGAGGAATCGAACCCAGGGCCTCAGGCATGCGAGGCAAGCGCTCTACCACTGAGCCACCTTCCCAGCCCCTTGAGTTCTCTTTTTTCAGTCATGGGGCTTGAACTCAGCTCTTCAGCTCAAGGTAAGTGCTTTACCACTTGAGCCACAGCGCCATTTTCGGTTTTCTAATGGTTTATTGGACATGAGTCTCACAGACTTTCCTGCCCAGGCTGGCTTTGAGCTCTGTGCCTCAGTCTCAGCCTCCTGAGTAGCTGGGATGACAGGCGACTGTTTTACTGAGTGCTGGTCCACAGCTGTGTGCTGGCACACAGTAAGCACTCAATGAACGCGTGGTAAGTGACAAGGACGCGGCTGTTCCCCCAATGCAGGCAGGGCTGAGATCCCAGCTACGTGTCTGCACCCTGAGGATCCAGTCCCTGTCTCCCCTCAGCCTTCTCCAGAGCCTATGCTTAGCTCTGGAAACATATTCCAAAAGTCTCCCATCCCACAGAGCAAAGGAGAGAGGGAACGGAAGAAAAAAAAACAACATTGTTTGGCCAGATGGCTCAATCTAAGAAATTTATAATCAATCACAGTGAGGACCTCCGGGCTAGAAAAACACATCTGTGCAGTGGTTTCTAAAGCGGTTCCCAGCCCCCACAGCCACGTAGGCCACAGCTCAGACCCGGCACCCGCACCCAGCCCCGGGGAGATCACAGAAAAAATAAATAGATTTGTGTGTGTGTGTGTGTGTGTGTGTGTGTGAGAGAGAGAATAGTGACAACAGATACAAAGTGCAAGATTTCTTCAGGGCAGAAGTGGGAAAACACATCACAGTTCCTTTGCACACCTCGGGGTCTGTCTCACGCGATGGTGATATTTGCGGCCATTCTAGAAAGAGCTCTTGCTTCTTCCCACCTCTGACTTAGTGGTGGAAATGCCAGACAGGTTGGTGACACTTGTGGAGTGTCAGCCTTATTTCTATTTTTAAAAAAGGGGTGCATGCATGGCTGCCATCCCCACACTGAGAGAAGTCGGGGACAGAGGATGTTGAGTTCAAGCTAGCCCAGGCCACGTGAGACTTAAAAAAAAAAGAAAAAAGAATCAAAACCCAATGCTGGGCGCTGTGGCTCACGCCTGTAATCGCAGCTACTCAGGAGGCTGAGGTCTGAGGATCGCAGTTTGATGCTGGCCATGGCAAAAAAAAAAAGGTCTGTGAGACTCATCTCCAATGAACCACCAAAAAGCTGGAAGTGGAGGTATGGCTCGAGTGGTAGAGTGCTAGCCTTGAGTGGAAAAGCTCAGGGACAGCGCCTGGGCCTGAGTTCAAGTCCCAGGACTGGCATACACACACACAAAAGTGCAGTAGCTTACACCTGTAAGCCAATCTACTTGGGACACAGATCAAGAATGGTCCAAGCTCCAGCCCAGGTACAAAGACCCCTCTTCAACCACGACAAACCTGGGTGCGTGCTGTGTCCCGGCATCCGAGCTATACAAGAAACGTAAATAGGAGGATCGCAGTCCACGCGGAGGAGACGTAAATGCAAAATCCTAGTCCAACATGGATGGGAGCCAAAAGGGGTGTGGCTCAAGTGAGAACGCCTGTCTGGCAAGTCCAAGGCCCTGAGTTCAAACCCCACACCCCCTCCCCAGAAACAACGACGAAAGAAAGGCAAAGGAGAGGGGCTGGGGGTATGGCTGGGGGCAGGGCACCTGCCAAGTATGCAAGAGGCCCTGGGTTCCACCCCAGCACGCCAGGAAACACGCACACGCACACACACGCGCACGCGTGCGCACACACACGCCCACGCAGTCACACATGGAAAAAAGGAAATTGGGGTACCTGAGCCACGCTCGACAAAAACAGTGCAAGGTCAGGATACCAGGTCCACTCCACACAGTGTCCAGGCCCAAACAGAAAAAGTGCAACTAGCTGAGGTGGGAGGTGGGCAGCAGGAAGGGGAGAGGGAGGGAGGGAGGGTGGGAGGGAGGGAGGGAGCGAGGTTCCGGGATCTCAGGCACTTTGTAAATATTAAAGGCCACCCATGACTCAGGCTCTTCCCGTGGGTTGGGGCAGTGGGGGGAGGAGGAGGATGACAAGTTTTGGCGAATGAATGAACCGGAATCAGTCAGCGGGGGCCCCAGGGCCCCCCGGACCCCAATGCCACACAGTCACTTCCCTGCTTTCTGCAACCTGAGGCTGATGTGCTGGGTGGCGGGGTGACAGGGCCGGGACTGACTGCAGCGAGCCTCGCCGGGCAAGAGGTAAACACAAGCACGTCTGAGTTCAGGTGGCGGCGGCGGCAGGTGGACAGGGGTCACATGTTCAAAGCCACCAGCTCACTCTCTCTTTCTCTCTGCTCACATTGCCCTGTTTCCTGTGCAGGAAAGGGCCGAATCTTCCAGAAACTCGCCGAGATATCCTAGCTCCTTTTTGTGAGGCAAGAAAGACACAAGTCCCAGCAGGCAACCTGGCAGGGTGGCCGCCGGGCGCTGGGCCTGCTTTGCCTTCCAGGCAAAAGGAAAATAATAAATAAAACAGCTCCAGCAGACAGGCGGCTCGCGGCGTCTTTGAAGGATTCAAGAAAGCCGGGACTCAGGCCGGGCACTGGGCAACCCGCCGGGGAGAAAGTTCACATCCTGTCCACGAGAGGCACCACGTTCCAGGGAGGGCCAGGCCTCCGCCGCCGGTCACACCAGGTCTTCCTCCAGGCTGACCATCTGTCTCTGTCAACAGGACGGAAAACACCGGAAACAGTGAGTCCAGCCCGCAGTAAACTTGACCGGCTCAGCCCCACTTATCACGACCAGACTAGGAGCTTCCTTCTTGACACCCAGCCTGCTCTTCCTCATCTGCTCCCTGCCTGCATATCAGAGAACACCGTGAACGCTAGAGGATAGACAAGTCCCTCCTCGGCTCAAGAACCTTCTAGCAAAACCCACCGTTCTCCCCAGGGCATAGAAGTTCCTCTGTAGTTGGGGTCCCTGTCACACCTCTGGTCCTGATTTCTCCCTACTCTGTAAGATGCAGCCACGCTGGGTTTTTTCCCAAGCACCAAAATATAATCTGTATATTCCAACCTCAGGACCTTTGCACATGCTGCTGCTTCTTCAACCAAGCTGGCCCTAACCTCTTTGTAAACAAACAAAAAAACCTGAACCTCCTTGCCCAGTGCCAGCGGTTACACCTGTCATCCTCACTACTCAGGAGGCTGAGATCTGAGGATTGCCATTCAAGGTCAGGTAGGAAAGTCTGTGAGACTATCTTTATCTTCAGTTAACCACTAAAAATCCAGAAGTGAAGCTGTGTATCCCAAGAGGTAGACTGCCAACCCAGAGGAAAAACAAAATAGATCTCAGGCCCAAGAGCCCAGACCTGAGCCCTAGGACTGGCACAAAAAAATGGAAAGAAAGTTCTACCTCCATCCCCTTTGTCCTAGTCTCGGCAAATCCATTGCTGGCCTCTAGCTCTGTGTGTGTGTGTGTGTGCGCACACACACACGTGTGCGTGCGTGCGCATGCGCCCGTGTGTGTATGTAGGGGAAGGAACCCAGTACCTCAAGTTTGCTAGTCCTAAGGACCACCACTGAGCCACGCCCAGTCCAAAGCCACGCCCACACTAAACCACACTCTACCTTTGGCCACATCCATTAGCGAAGCTCCCAATAGTAAGCCACCTTGGGCTCTGGGCCACGCCCCTGCCACTAGCCACACCCAACACCAAACCACTCCCAGTCACGCCCCAGCACTAAGCCACACCCCCACCATTAGCCACGCCCCAGCACTAAGCCAACACTGGACTGGACTCCTTAGCCACGCCCCTGCCCGTGGCCACGCCCAGGCCCTGGCTTCCCCAGGGCTCACCGAGGGGTAGGTGTAGCCGTCCTGGCTCCGGCAGATGTGGACCTCATCCTCCGTCGTCTTCTGGTACACGGGGTTGTCAAAGTTGATGCTGTTTATATTCTTCAAGCGCCAGTTCTTCCACACCAGGAAGGCCACGAAGCAGATGAGGACGAGCAGGGCTGCGGGGAGAGGCCGGTCACGGGCAGGCCCTCGGGAGCAGCCGCGCATGCGCGCCGTCCCGGCCCCGGGGGGGGGGTGTCTCCCTGTGCTATTCCCCTCCTCCCCGGCCTCGGCCCCAGGGCCTGATGGGAAGCAGGCTCGGCAGCCGGGAGGGGCTCCATCCCCCGAGCTAGGTGAATGAGGTGAGGGGGTGTGGGGAGCAGGACTCCCCCAGCAGAACCCCGCCGGCACTCACCGATGGGGAGCACGATGGACAGGGCCCCCACGCCCTGCCGCTGCTCCGCCGGCCCTCTGCCCGCAGCATCGCCCTGACCTGGGGGGAGAAAGGACGGCGTGAGGCCCGGATCCCCGGGAGGAACGCGGAGGGGGGATCATCTCCAGGGTGGGGTGGGCCCCTCTGGCTTGCACATGCGCACAGGCTCCCTCAGATGAGGCCTAGCGCCCCCTCCTCAGTTACAAAGGCCCAAGCTGCAAGTCCCTCCCTGCCAAAAAGGATGCTGTATTTGCATACATTTGCATAAAGGTCACAAACACCTGTGGGTTCTAGGTCAAGAAATATAAATGCTGTGTAAATAGCCATTAACCTGAATTCTGTAGTGATGACTGACAAGAATAATCTATTGTTCAGTCTAGAGGCAACTTCTTGTGAGTGTGTGTGTGTGTGTGTGTGTACTGGGGCTTGAACTCAGGGCCTGGGTGCTGTCCCTGAGCTTCTCTGCTCAAGGCTAGCCTTCTACCGCTTTGAGCCACAGCATCACTTCCAATTTTTGAGTGGTTCATTGGAGATAAAGAGACTCACTGTGACTTTTCTGCCCAGGCTAGCTTTGAAGCCTGATCCTCAGATCTCAGCTTTCTGGAGGTGTGAGCCACTGACACCCACCCCTGGGTTTTTCTTGCCCAGGTTGGCGCTTTACCACTTAAGCCACAGCTCCATTTCCAGGTTTTTGGTGATTCCATAAACTTCCCTACCCAGGCTGGCTTTTTTCTTGTTGTTGTTGGTCAGGGGGCTTGAACCCTGGGCGCAGTCCCTCAGCTTTTCAGCACAATGCTAGTCTCTATCACTTGAGCCACAGAGCCACTTCCTGTTTTATGGTGGTTCATTGGAGATAAGAAGGTGTCTTGAGTGTGTGTGTGTTTGGGGGGAGTCCCTCAGTAGTCCAAGTTGAGGCTCAGTGCTCCACCTCCAGCATCAATAATACCAATAACAGCCACGTTAACTGGGACATCCTGGAGATCTGTGGACACTTTTCTCCTAACCAGGCCCTTCTCCAAACTTGGGGCTTGTTGGGGTGACCTATGATGACCTCCATCTACCCCAGCTCTTTCCCCAGCCTCCTTCTACCTGGGCAGTTCCTGCCTTATCTCCTCCACGGCTAAACAAAGGCTTCAGTTGTCAAGAGGAAAAGAAACTATTGTGAAACTTGCTGATGTGATGTTTTGGAGGATTTTTGTGTTTTAGTGGATTATTTTTTTCCTTCTTTCTTTCCTTGCTAGAAAACCCTAGAAGTCCATTCCCAGGCAGCCAGCGCACGCCCCCTGGCGTACAAAGGGATGAACTGCAGATCACCTCCAGGCAAGGTCTACTTCACTAAATCTAAGGGAGGGAACACTTCCACGCTGTGTGTGGGGTAAATGACAAGAAAATCCAATCTGGTTGGGCATTGGTGGCTCCCGCCTGTCATCCTAGCTACTCACGAGGCTGGGATCTCAGGATCGAAGTTCAAAGTCAACCCGGGTAGGAAAATCCATGAAACTCTTATCTCTAATGGACCAGCAAAAAACTGTGAGTAGAGCTGTGGCTCCAACAGTAGAGAACTAACCTCAAACAAAAATGATCAGGGACGGAGGCGAGGCCCTGAGTTCAAGCCCACGGACTGGCGCATGCATCTTACAGGGAGAGACGGCCAGGCCCCAGCACGCCACCGCGTCTGTTCACCCTGTGTCTATAAACAGGCCAGCGAGGCCCGGCTCGCACCTTGAGAGGAGGTGGTGAAGGACTGTGCAGAGGTGAGCGCAGCTGTGGTTGCAGGGCTCCAGGAAGTGCCGGAAGGTGGCGGGGTGTCTGGGTGCCTCGGGATCCCTGTTGTAGTGCCGACCGCAGGTCTGGTGGTGGTTGGCCTCTGGGTGCTCGGTATAGGCTCAGCCTCTGCGGGAATGAACAATTCTTGAGTCCAATTCCGGGTCCCCTACCTCTCGAACTGTGCTTGCAAGAAATAACTAAAAACACACACACTGAAAACACTCAGCCACTGGGATGGACACTGTGATATATTTCTTGTTCTTTCTTTCTTGTTTTTTGCCAGTCCTGGGCTTGAACTCAGGGCCTGGGCGCTGTCCCTGAGCTTCTTTTGCTCAAGGCTAGTGCTCTACCACTTGAGGCACAGCTCACTTCAGGCTTTTTGGTGCTTCATTGGAGATAAGAATGTCCTGGAGGGGCTGGGCAGGTGGCTCAGTGGTAGAGCGCTTGCCTTGCATGCCTGAGGCCCTGGGTTCGATTCCTCAGCACCACATAAGCAAAAAGAAAAAAAGCCGGAAGTGGCGCTGGGGCTCAAGTGGTAGAGCGCTAGCCTTGAGCTGAAGAGCTGAGGGACAGCGCCCAGGCCCAGAGTTCAAGCCCCACGACCAGACCCCCCCCCCAAAAAAAAAAAAAGAATGTCCTGGACTGTTCCTGCTGGCTGGTTTCAAACCAAGAACTCTCATATTTTAGCCCCCTGAGTAGCTGGGATTACAGGCGTGAAGCACTGGACAGATGAGGAGACAGCTCAGAAGAGGGTAAGAACAGGGCTGGGCTGCACAGATGGCAGAAGGCAGACCTGAGCCCCCACCTGGCCGGCAGCTCCTCATGTCCTGGGCCAGCAGTATGCCATCCGGACAGGCACAGGTGAACTTCGGGGAGTGTGGGTTGATCTGAGGGGCGGGTAGACACAGGTACTCGCAGCCACCATTGGGGAGAGCTGTCTTCTCACACCAGTTTACTCCTAAAGGTAAAGAAGGAAATCCAGGTGAGACGGAGCCCATCATCAGCTAGGCTCAGAACATTCCAGAAAATTCTAGAAACTTTTTTCTTTCCCCTAAATAAATTTCCTTCTTACCTCTCGGCTGTGTGATATTGTGGAACAAGACAATATCTTCTGGGGAGAAGAGGTTTTCGGCCATTAAATTGACATCAGAGCCAGTGAGGCGATTGGCACTGAAAATGGCTTCCTTGATGATATCTGTCCAAAATACCTTTTCCTACACAGGTGACACAGCACAAATAGAATTAGCTAAAGGGGCAGTTGTTGGGCGCTGGTGGCTCACGCCTGTCATCCTAGCTACTCAGGAGGCTGAGATCTGAGGATCAGGGTTTAAAGCCAGCCAGGGCAGGAAAGGCTGTGGGACTTTTATCTCCAATAAACCACCAGAAAACTGGAAGTGGCGCTGTGGCTCAAGTGGTAGAGCGCTCGCCTTGAGCTGAAGAGCTGAGGGACAGCGCCCAGGCCCAGAGTTCAAGGCCCACAACTGAAAAAAAAAAATCTTGTGAAGATTTTTTTTGTGCTGGTCCTGGGGCTTGAACTCGAGGCTTGGGCACTGTTGCTGAGCTCTTTTGCTCAAGGCTAGCATCCTACCACTGGAGCCACAGGGCCACTTCCGGTTTTCTGGTGGTTCATTGGAGATAAGAGTCTCATGGACTTTTCTTCTTGGGCTGGCTGTGAACCGCATGATACTCCGATCTCACCCTCCTGAATAGCTAGGATGGTGAGTAGTGTATTTTTCTGAACACAGTATCTTCAAGGTCTCCATTTTATATCATGTTTCAGCGTTCCCTTTTCTAATGCTGAGTAATATTCTAGTATATACACAGATTTAGTCAAAAACAGCTAACTATGAATTCCTTAGGTCCCCAGGTCTCACCTCAAAGATGGCCAAGGAGAAGGGGTGGGCCAGTTGCTTCTCATCTTCTAAGATGACCTTTCGATTACCTCCATTGACGTCGATGCTGGAGATGGAGTGGAGTTTGGAATCGACCCAATAGAGGCGGCCACTGGCAAGATCTAGGACACACAAATGGATAGGGAATGGTCACCGCATAGATGCCAGATATTTCCAGAAGATTCTAGAAAGTTCTAGAGAATTTCAGGAGCCTGATGACTTTGAGGTAGGTGAATACACTTGTGTTAGACTACTCTGTTCCCCACAGGAGAAGCCCTGACAGGGTCTGTAAAATCTCAAGGGGATCGCAGAGGTGGTTTGGGACACCAGGTCACCACACCATGTCCTGGGGAGGGCAGGCTCTTCACGTACGTACCCAGGGTGATGCCATTGGGCCACTGGATGTCTTCTGTCACCAGCGAGTACACATCCACGCCGTTCAGGCCTCCTTTCTCGATCTTGGCCGGGGTACCCCAGTCTGTCCAGTACATAAAGCTGGTGGGAAGGAGGGAGGAGATGAGGATGCCAGTTTGAATTTTGAACTCAGAGCCTGCCGGGGACAACTACCACAGAAGAGCCAGGAAGGAGTTGAGAGCCCACACTGAGGTGAGGGGTAGGTGAGTGGTTAGTGCCTGCATTGTGTGCACACATGGGGTTTGGGGGTCCAATTTTTGACGAAAATGGGTTATTTTATTTTGGGCTGGTCGTAGGGCTTGAGCTCAGGGCCTGCGCACTGTCCTTCGGCTTTTTTACTCATGGTTGGTGTTCTACCACTTGAGCCCCAGTTCTTGTTTAGGATTTTCTGGTGTTTGACTGGAGATAGGGGTCCCACAGACTTTCCTGCCTGGACTGGCTTTGAACTGTCATCATACCAAAATAAATCAGAAGCTAGTTGCTGGTGGCTCACACCTGTCATCCTACCTACTCAGGAGGCTGAGATGTGAGGATCTCGGTTTAAAGCCATCCTGGGCAGGAAAATCCACAAGACTTATCTCCAATAAACCACCAGAAAACCAGAAGTGGTGCTGTGGCACTAGTGTTAAGAGCCCTAGCCTTGAGCTGAAGGGCTCGGGGACAGCGCCAGGCCAAGAGTTCAAGCCCCACACCTGACCCCCCCCCAAAAAAGTTGTATAATGTGTTGGCATTTCCCTCCCCTTTTAAGGGTAATACTCCGGCGTATGGACAGACCACATCGCGCTATGCGTTTGTCCACAGGCCCTCCCGCCTTTTTATAAGGTTATGATCACAGCCCACAAAATGTCTCTTCAAGAACGGGCTTGCATTGTCTGGAGCCAGTGGCTCCCGCCTGTAATCCTAGCCACTCAGGAGGCTGAGATCTGAGAATTACCTTTCAAAGCCAGCCCACGCAGGAAAGTCTGTGACTCTTATCTCCAATAAACCACTCAGAAAACCAGAAGTGGCGCTGTGGCTCAAGTGGTAGAGCGCTAGTCTTGAGCTGAAGAGCTGAGGGACAGCTCCCTGGCCCAGAGTTCAAACCCTGTGACCAAGTAGAGTAGTGCATACCTGTAACCCCAGCACTTTGGAGGCTGAGACAGAGCAATACTTTGTCGGGGAGAGGGGGAAGGGGACCCTGTGTGCAATTCTTCTGGAGTTAGAACTGAAAACATCCCAGGATACCTGGTCATATTCTCTAAGTACAAAGTTTTATCTTTCTTTTCGGGATGAGCACGCACCCGTGCACCGGGTCCACCACGATGGCCCGCGGCTTGGAGCCGCTCTTCTGCACCAGCGTCTTCCTCTTGGTGCCCCTGGTGTCGGCCACGGACACGGTGCCCAGGATGGAATCGGTCCAGTAGATGTGGCCGTGGATCCAGTCCACAGCCAGTCCATCCGGGGCCTTGAGGTCGGTGTGGATGATGGTGTCGTAGGACGCGCTGGGGGCGTGGTCGATCTGGGTGCTGAGACCAAGAGGGCGCAGAGCGTCAGGGCCCAGGGCCTGGTCAATCATGGACAGCGGTGGGCGGGGCCCAGGGCAAAGGGCGGGGCCCAGAGCAGTGGGTGGAGCCAGAACCTTTACCAATCTTGGGGCGGGGCAGGAGGCTAAGTCAGTCCTGCCAATCCTAGATGACAATGGGCGGGACTTGGGAAGTGGGTGGGACCAGAGCTTGGCCAATACGTGGGTGGTAGTGGGTGGGACCAGAACATTATCAATCCGGAGCCAGTAGGTTGTCAGTAGTCCTGCCAATCCTGGACAATAGTGGGCGGGATGAGGAAAGTGGGTGGAGCCAGACCTTTGTCTGGAGGGGGTGGGCGGGGCCACAGCCTCTGGTCAACGGGGTGGGGGGAAGGGGCGGTGCACCGGACTCAGTTTACCTGTAGATCTTCTTTTGGGAGATGTCAGACCAGTAAATTCTGTTGTTGGCTACCTCAGTGTCCAGAGCGACCACGTTCTTCAAGTTGGGGATGAGGCTGATGTACTCGCTGTGGTCCAGCGCCATCATCCTCACCTCATGACGGTTGGTGAAGAACAGGTAGGCGATGGAGCCTGGGGAGCCAGGAGTAGGGTCAGGCCAGCAGAGGGGACTCCTCTGCAGGGGGTGAGAAAGCCAGGGGAGCCATGGCCCCCCCAATGGGGGAACAGTGTCTTAACACCTACGTCTGGCTAGTCTTGGAAGGTCTAACCATGATTCAACTAGTGAATTCTAAGTCTGCTTGCCCTGCCTTGCCCAGTCCATGCGCTCTTTCTGCCTCTTCTTTTTTCTTTCTTATTTTGTACCTATATCTGGAATTGAACTCAGGTCCTCACACTCTCAATGGGCTTTCTTGTTCAAAGCTGGTGCTTTACCGCTTGAACCAGGCCACCAATGACATTTTGCTCATTATTCTGGAGATGGGAGTCTCACACACTATTTTGCTGCAAACTCTGATCCTTGCTTTGAACCTGGATCTTTAAGATCTTAGCCTCCTGAGTTGTTAGGATTACAGGTGTGAGCCACCAGTACCCAGTTTTAAACAGGTGGTTTGAACGTGCCCAAGGCGCTGATAAATTCCCCCGTGGAAGGCCCCTGGCTCACATCTGCCCAGCACTCACCCACCGCCTTGCAGGTTTTGGTGCGGGGGTCCATCTGGAAGCCCGTCTCGCACTCGCATTTGTAGCTGCCCTCCAGGTTCACACATCGCTGGCTGCACATGTCCGGCTCCTGACACTCATCAATATCTACAAGTGACATGGAACAAAAGGCTATTGTGGGGTTCTGGAGATTGAGCCTAGGGCCTTGTGCCCGTTAGATGAAGCTCTACCACCAATATTAGCACTTCATTGAACTCAGGGCCTCCTACTCTTGCTCTGCTGGCTTGCTCATGGCTGGTGCTCTACTACTTGAGTCATGCCTCCAGTCCAACTTTTTGCTGGTAAATTGGAGATCGTATCCCAGGCTATTCTTCCTGGACTGGCTTTTGAATAGGTGAGTTATAACCAAGTCCTTTTTGCTCTGGTTGCTTTTTTTTTTCTTGCCTGGGACAGCCTAGACTATGATGTTATTATTTATACTTCCTATCTAGGTGATGAGCAGGTTCTACTACACCCAGCCTTTTCTCTTGAGATAGTGTCTTTCAAGCTTTTGTGCCCAGTTCTGGCCTGGAACGGTGATCCTCCCAATCTCAGCCTGCCAAATCTCTGGGATGATAGAAGATCACCACCACACCCAGCTCTCAGGTGAGGTAGGCTCTCCTGTTCTTGCCTGGGCTAGCCTGGAAGTTCAATCCTCCTCCCCTTGCTCCTGAGTAACTAGAATGACAGGCAGGAACAGCCCCCCAGTCCCTGGCCTGCTGAGCCCAGATTTTGAAAGGTCAGGCTCATTCATGCGCAGTGCCCGACCCACAGACCTGAAGCGGTGACACTGATTTCAACACATGAAAAACGAGGCATAGAGAATTCTGGAAGGGAAAAAGGTAGAGGAAGGCGCCTGAGCCTGGCACTGTCACCTTCACATCTGCGCTGCTCCACTAGCCGGAAGCCATCAGGACACAGGCACTGGTGGCCGATCTTGAGGTCCCGGCAGTCATGAGAACAGCCCCCATTGTTGTCCGCACACTCGTTAGTCCCTGTGTGGGGAAGGGGGGAGGGGAGGAGGGGGGACACGGAGTGGTCATTCCACTTCTGCTGGCCATGTGGCGGTACTGCATCCTTTGTATAAGACCAGAGACTTCAGTGAGTTCACAGATCCCACTTCAGGGGGAGGAGCCCTGAGGGCTGGTGCTGGGTGAAAAATGCCAGTCACCCTGGGAATCCACCTGTCCCCGCCCCCACCCAGTCCTCAGAGCCTCAGGGGAATTATGAGTGCCAAAATAAGAGTTAGGTGGTGGTCAGGAGTGCACACACTGTGAGTGCATTGTCTTTTCTTTTTTTTTTCTTTTTTTTGCCAGTCATGGTGCCTGAACTCTGGGCCTGGGCGCTGTCCCTCAGCTCTTCAGCTCAAGGCGAGCGCTCTACCACTTGAGCCACAGCGCCACTTCCAGCTTTTTCTGTTTATGTGGTGCTGAGGAATCGAACCCAGGGTCTCATGCATGCAAAGCAAGCGCTTTACCACTGAGCCACCTTCCCAGCCCTGCATTGTCTTTTCTTTGCAGTACTTGCGACCCAGTCTTCCATGTGCTAAGAAGCACTCTACCAGAGCCACGCCCAGCACCAACGCCACGCCCACTGACCCCGCCCACCCGCACAGAGCCACACTGCTCACAAGGACCTGCTGTCATTAGGTCACGCCCTTCACAATTAAGCCACGCCCTCTGCCAATAAACCACACCCCTTACTAGTAGCCTAGTTCTGCTAAGCCACGCCCACCACCTGGCCCTGCTTCCATTGCACAACCAGGCCCACCTCCACAAAACCACGCCCCCATGGTCGTAAATACATTTAATACCACTGAACTATACCCAAGCAAATGGTTACTGGGCTGGGGGAGAGCGCTGGCTCGCCTCATTGTGCAAGGCTCTGGGCTCCACCCCAAGGCCGACCCCCCTCCATTCTACATGCTTTTCTTACCCAAGTCCCCATATCTTTCTCTTTCATTTTTTTTTCTTGTTGTTTTTTTTTGGGGGGAGGGTCCGGTAGTGGGGCATGAACTCTGGGCCTGGGCGCTGTCCCTCAGCACTTCAGCTCAAGGCTAGCGCTTTACCACTTGAGCCACAGCACCACTTCTGGCTTTTTTCTTTTTGCTTATGTGGTGCTGAGGAATCGAACCCAGGGCCTCAGGCATGCAAGGCAAGC